TTGGGGCTATTGTAAGTCAAACCATTTCACGAACAAATACATTCTTTGCAAATACTTCCAGCAAATATTATTACGTATACTTTAAACAAAATTCTGACAATAATTCGTCCATTAACAGGCTATGTAAAGACAGCCCCGTTTTAAAACAAGTCAGTCATTCACTGGCAGACGTCATGAGCGGAGTTGTTTATCGCAAGGCTGGACACCCCGGCCACTATCAGACCTTAGATTCAATTAGGAATTACTGACTTTAAAATTTACGTATAGCGAACCTAATAGCAAAGCTATAAAGGAGAAAAAAACTTAAGCAAACAGCGTAACACCGGGATATGTTGGAAAACAGCACTACAACCAGCTCTAACGCTCCAGAGTATCATAGTTTTTCTCACAATCAAACTGGTGATACAACTGAAGATCAGAAAAAATCACCCTTATGTATCCAGGCAGTTACGATGGCTGGAAACTTTAGTCAAGAAAGACTAAAGCTCACTGGTCCTTTTTAGGACCATCTAACGTCGAAATACCTTAACAACAAAATATGTTATAGCCTAAAAAAGTTGGCAAAAAACAAGGGAACAGTTTTAAAAAATGCCTAGTGTTAAAAAAAGGCGAATTAAAAGGAAAACTTTAAATGCTTTCCATGTATATTAGGCATCAAGAAGCTGAAGCAGAACATTTGTCGAGATTGGGGCAGCAGCGTAAAAATCAGCAGTGATATGTAGGTATTTACTATGGCCCTGAAAAATAGATAGATAAGGCTCAAGAACTTGGTTGCTCCGGTAATAACGGTTTGTAGAGAAAAAAAAAAAAAAAAAAAATCCGAATCATCTTTTTTTTTTTTTTTTCATTACTTCTGTATTTTTACAGCTTTAACAGACATATGTCCTTTTCATTTGTTATAACGTAATGAAGTACAAATCAACGGGTCTTTCTAAGGCCAACAACTGTTTTACATAGTTAGGAACGTATGGTACTTTTTAACACTATTATCTCTTTTTTTTCTTTTTTTACAGCTTATTATTCGACCACAACTAGATGTATTCCAAGCAAAAGTTTTTTTTAATAAATTTATTTATATCAAGAAATACCAGCATGGAAGAAAAATTTTGAAACATTGATAAACTGAAAATGTTTTACGTTACGCTTCAACACATTATGGTACTCCACTTACGGAATATCGGGCGAAGCCAAGACGCCGTTAGTTATATCATTAAAATACATACTATTTCTACAAATCTTGTTCAGTCCATACTCGTTTAGTCAACATAATAACATAGAAAAAATTCTTATAGTTCTTACTTTAACCTTCCGCTATGCTTGTTTTCGGCTGTAGATAATAGTTTATGGGCTACGATTTTTTCGGGAACATGGATTCAGTTCTCTGATAAATTTTATTTTTTTTATGTAAAGATGTATAAGAGAAAATATTATGATTATTGTTAAAATTGTCTTTTTAAAAACACACAGCAATAAAGTGTACAAGTTGGACATTGATTCTCCAGCTTTTAGTTAAAATCATGCAATTTTTCTTTTATTTCATCGATCTACTTAGCTCGACCCCTTTTTTATTAAACAGACATAATTAAGTGGTGTCCTTTCCATCAATATACAGACAAAGAAACCAAACAAAAAAAGTTTTATAAAAACTAAATAACTGCTATATTACGAACTTTATTGGATTTTGTTAAAAGCACCCTGTTTTTCGACACTTTACGAAGCTGATGCGATTTTAAATCGACTAACAAGTGAAACTAAGTATAGATGACGACAAAAACGTTGGCATGCTATATCAGTGCTTAGGCGATGCAACTTTCGCAAGAAACTTTGAGCTTGAACAAAATTTTGCTACTTTAAATATTAATTGAAACCTTTCTAAAAAATACTACTACAGAAAATTTAATTTGTGTAATGTAATTTATCTAAAAATAATACTAAACAAAATTTATATGGATTCTAGAAATCTTAGCAATAATTCATTGGATGGATACATCTTTCAATTTGGAATTACTCATTAATCACCTTTAAGTACAGCAACAATAGTATTAATTGAACGTTTAGTATCCAATTTATTATAATAACGTGATTCTTACTTACTTCTTTTGGAAAACCAGTGGTCAGTAAGTACTTGGATACCCTAGTATGATGTTATACTTCTACGGCGGGTAGTATATACAAGGTGTGATCAAAAAGTAAGGTGACTTTTTGAATTGCGCGCGCTCTTTATACTCATAAAAAAATATTTTTTTAACTATGTTGGTACACTAGTCACGATCATATGTTCATAGTTTTGACTATATAGCATGTGTTGTTTTTATGTAAGAGACTTAAAGGTAAGACTCGTGTTTGCGTACTCGGCGATTTCTTTTTGTTGAAAATAATGGAGCAAAGAGTTTGTATTAATTTTTGTGTAAAAAATGGTATTAAGTGCTCAAAAACTCTTGAAATGTTGACAGTGTCCTACGGTGAGTCAACTATGAGCAAAAAAAATGTTTATAAGTGGTATAAGTTATTCCAAGAGGGCCGAGAAAATGTTAATGATGAACCTCGCTCTGGGCGACCCAGCACGTCAAACACCGACGAAAATGTTCAGAAAGTGAAAGAAATGGTGCTAAAAGATCGTTGAATCCTTCAAAGCGCT